GATAACGTGGGTGCGGCGGCAGGCCAGGCGGACTGCCCTCGCGCGTCGTGTTCGTGCAGCCTTGAAAGCTATCCACTAAAGTGCGCATGTTTTTACCGTTTTTTTAGGGAGGGCGCCCCGGCACAGAGGCCTAGTAGTGGTGGGGGGCCAGGGCCAAGGAGGCTTGAGAGCGTGGCAAACAGTTAAACTGCACTGTCTACAGGGCAGGGATCCAATTCCCTTAGCAGGTGCCACGCATGATTTCCAGCATCCAATTCCATACAATGATCTGTACCTCCTACGCAGCTGTGACAGCAGAAATCTCAATCTGTTGCCTCAATGAAAGACCAGACCAAATGGTAGTGTAGCCAGCACTGACGGTGGAGGAGTGGATGTACGAATATGCGAAGGTCCACATGGGCATTTCATGGTGGCTGTTGCTGGATTTTTCTCTGTTCTTCCATGATCTGAGGAGCAGTACTCAGCCCCATCGCATATTGTATGGCTGGAAAGTCCAAGCCCGATGAATTCATCAGCTTTGCCTGATCCAAAAACACATGAAGCCTGCGCAGACATGCAAAACATTGTACCAACACATGGAAGAAAACAGCTCGACCGATACCATGTTCAATGCAAAGACAAACAAGGCGGTCGACAAAGTGTATTGTTTGCCAGAAGAGAGGTTGTACCATGGGGTTCCATTTTAGTTTGGGGGGGTACTTGAAAGGCCGGCTCGGGTTGGAATATGTTGGAACTGCTTACTTGGCAAAACAACTTGCATCGCTGGACCTGAAGCTTCCCTCTGTGATTTGGTGCAACTGATCATGCATGATGCGGGGAGCCAAAAAAGGCGGAGTACAATACTTCACCTTGAAAAGCCTCTTGCAGACATGCCCAATGGTGCGATGTGTAGGGGTGAGCACATGCATAGACATAGATTTACAAGTTCGTAGCTCAGTGGATTTCAACTGGAAAACGCAGCCTCGAGGCCACCAATGCAGGCGGTGCCTGTTGGCTTTGTTCCCAGCGCTCCTTGCGTGGGCCCCGTGGAGCAGCTCATCGATATGGGTTGGACTATTCGGTTGTTACATATTGTTACTTACGTCAAAGCTCATAGTGTTGCAGATGAACCCTATAGGCCTATAGGGTTTCATGATGTACATGGGGGTGATACATTTAGATTCCTTAACAGCAAGCCAGATGCTTTGCGGATCCTGTCAGAGTCACAGTCGCAGCTCTTGTCGAGCGTCTCCGCTTAGGCCAGGGAGCGGTCTACGCACAGCAGGTGGGTAATAGTTCCTGCCGAGGATGCTGCACATTTCAGAAACAAAGCAGAATCTGCGAGATGCCGCTGACGGCCCCGTCTGCCATGGTGGGGCAGCCAATGCAGCAGGCCGAACTCTTGGCCGGAAAATGTCCGTGGAAACGCAAGCCGGATTAGGTATCTCGCTTTGGAAGTGCTCGTCGTGCAGTTTCCAAGAAGAGAAGTGTTCGCGAGCTAGCGCTAGTTTGTGCCGCCCCGTCCTTCGCAGTAACCGCAGTTCTGGGGTCTTACGTTCTGGCCATTTGTAGTATTCTTTGGTGGTAAACCTGTCCACAAAATCCTAGAAGCCAGATGCCGTCGCATTCACTAGTCCGGCGCTTCCCGGGATTCGCGTTGCAGCAGCAGGAGGTTGACATGTTTTGACTTTGCGTTTGCGGGCTGCGCGTGCTTCTTGCCAATGCTCCGTCTATGCCCGTAGGCCTGTGGGCAAGGCTTTTTGTTGCATAGACCATCAACCTTACTGATGCGGTTGTCTCTCATGTTGGCAGGCGCATTAGTAACATTACGTGCTTCCACACGCGCCACGCATTCAGGTAGATATTCTTGCAGATATGTTCACTTGACATCCGAAGACTTGTTGCCTGTTATGGATGCGTGTTGTGAGCGCTTCCGCATATTCACCTTCTGAGTCAACTGCATCACACAATCTGTTGCTTGGTGGAAGGTTAAGCTCGCGCAGGGCGCAAAATCACGGTAAAAATCACTTTGCTGACTCAACCCTTCAGGACTGCAAGCACAAACTCCTTGTGAGACACGGTGGATTTGACACTTCAGAGCCCCAAATAATGTAACACCACGCTAGCTGGCCTTCGGCCTGTTTTGGTACAATTCGTTACGATATCCCCGAGACGGCCCAAAAATGCACTGCTCAGAAACTTGCCCCTCGGAAGCGACGTTGAAGCGGCTGCCCAGTTGCTGAGCACGACAGTGCCTGCTTTGTCCTGCAGGTCAACATGATGACTCACGGCCAGGGAGCAGTCTACGCACAGCAGGTGGGTAGTAGTTCCTGCCGAGGATGCTGCACATTTCAGAAACAAAGCAGAATCTGCGAGATGCCGCTGACGGCCCCGTCTTCCATGGGACAGCCAGCTATGGGACAGCCAATGCAACAGGCGGAACTCTTTGCCGGAACATGCAAGCGAGATTAGGTATCTCGCTTTGGAAGTACTTGTTCCCCATGAAAAAGAGCGCTGTTCTCGAACCAGTGCCCCATGTAGGTCAACACCATGAATCACGTGGACGTTGCTCCTTTCTGTTTGCCAAGGCCGGAAAAGCTGACAAAGTGCTTGAAGCATTCAGCCTTGCATCGCTGTCCCGCCAGGGCCGGACATCCGGGAGCTGCGTGACGCTAATGAAGCAAAGCCGGCAATGAAAGTTTCAGATGTTTCACTTCTTAGCCTTAGAAATACACCTAGACTGCAATGCCGCATGACGTTAAAGTTCAATGCTGCACTGGGGCAGCCAAGTGAGATGCCGATTCAGATTGCAAGGCAAGACATACACTGCACCCTGCATATCTCACCCTTAGGCCGAAAGCTGAAAAGCGAGAGCGGCTTGATGCTTGCTGTGTTGAATCTTGGAAAGGGAGTGGTTCAAGGGGGCCCAAAGTAGGAGTCGTGCTGCCACGCGTGGCAGAGGTCTCAGATGCAGATCATCTGTCTTGGTGCCATTTTGACTTGAACTATGCAGATGCATGCCTGAGGTAGGCATGCTGTCCACACTCCGTCGAGTTCCTGCCATGTCCTCGAATATTGCTCAGGGTCAAGGAGCTTGTTAAAGACATGGGACAGCTTGTACAGTCTTTGTTCAACTCAGATTTCGAGTAGGCCGGCAACATACGGCTGTAGGGTTAGAAGGTTTGCTTCCCGCACGTCTGGAAGTAGGGGGTCCCGTGTTCTTGAAATCTTGGTTTTCGAGCACTGCACCGCGCATCAGGCCCGCCCAGTACTGGCAAGTGCCAGAAGTTTTGCGGCGGCCAAGGACGCTTTGGAGGAATTTAGGAACATCCCTGGTTGCTGCCTTTCAGGATATTCGCCATGGGAGTGAAGCACGGGCGTTGATGCTCGAAGGACTTCATGCAAAATGATTCTGCTATGGGTATATTCTCATTCGTGCTTGCACGGAGGCTGCAATCGATTGGCCGATGCAGTTGCAGTGACTATGGGACCAAAGGCCGTGGCTTTTGCCAAGATGAACGACAGCCGCCAAACTCAAGCTGCACCCATGTCAGGGGAGAAATGTCGTGATCGAGCAGTCGTTTGGTGCACCAAAGGCAAGGCCTTCAGATGTTGGGCATGTTGGACAGGTACGAAAAGATTCAGCCAAGCCTGGGCTGAGCTCCGGAAGCTTTCCTTCAAAGACCTGGGGCCTTGTAGGTCACGAAGGATGGTGTTACAGTGGCCAAGTCCATTGACTTGAAGCAGATGCCTTGGTCAGCTTGAAACGCTTACAGACCTGATCAGCTCGTCTTGGGTAGGTCCAGCCCCATGATCAACGTGGGCGCCCAGCTCGTCAAGACTGTGCCCTAGCCAGAAATATGCAAAGGAATGCATGCTGGTGCTGATAAGTCATGGGGGGCAGGTTGCCAGCAAGACGAACGATGTAGCCGGCGACGGCACAACCACAGCAACCGTTTTGGCGCGCTTGGCTCCAAGAAATGCGAAGTGGATTTCTGCAGTGATCAGAGTTACATGCATGAAACAATTTTTTGGTTGGGATCCTAAGAGGGTCTTCACGCCGAGGTGCCATCTTCCGAGAAGGTTGCAAGGCGACAATCTACTGTTTTTAGAAGGTTACTTGCTGCACAGCCTGTGAAAGGGAAGGGAAGTCTTATGCAGAAGAGCCTTGCTAGGCGGTTGCAGCTGGAATGAATCCGCGGGCTGCTTAGAAAGTGCTGCTGAGTAGTCATGGGGCTGCGCATATGGAGCCGCATAGTGCTGGCATGTTGTGGTGTCATGTGGATTCACACGAGAAAGGATGGACATCAAACGCGGCATGGACCACGCAGCCAAGATTGTTTTGGAGGAGAGTTACCAGCAACAATTCATAGCGCAGCTTTGCTGTCGAAGCTTTACTTGTAGCAGGACCTCGCAAGCCAAGCTACCATGATCGAAACGCCTGACAAAATCAAAAGCGCAAGAATCACAGCTTTGCTCAGTGTGAGTGGCGTGGGCGTGTGATGCTAAGCATCAGCTGTTGCCGACACATGATGTGCAATGCAGGTGGCAACCATCGCAGCAAATGGCGATGAACACATTGGTAAGATGATTACAGAAGCCTTTGAGAAGGCCATTTTCGGGTCAGTGCTGCAGGATCCAGCTGGTAAGTCGTCATTCGGCAGGTGGGCAAGGATGGCACCATCACAGTGCCATTGTCCCAGTGCCACGGAACCTGGGCGTGACGTTGAGTGAGTCTCTGTTCTCTTTGGCGTGACCAGCAGGTCTGATGGCAAGACCATGGACCACGAGCTAGAGGCAAGTTTGTTGGAAAGGGCGTATAGCTTTCAACTTCCACTTCATGAGGTGGTGGAAGGCATGCAGCTGGACCGCGGGTGTCGCGACTGCAAAGTGTCGCAAGAAAGGAAAGGAAAGGCCTGCAAAGCAGAGCGCAGCTTGCGCAGCTTTGCAGGTACATCTCACCGTATTTCATCACTAACGTGAAGGCTAGGCGTCCATTCAAAGATGTAGGAAGAGACATTAGGCCAAATTTGAGGAATTTGCATGTGCAGGCGCAAAAAGTCGAACTGGAGGCTTGCTCTTGGCAGAAAGCACGATTTTGTGCGGCTGCATGCTTTGGTGCCAGAATCCTCTGGTCCTCATCTTTGACAAGAAGATTTCGTCAGTTCAGGCCTCTGGGCAACTCAACTTGAAATCCTCTCAATGCAGACATGACCCCGTGAAAGCAATAGCATTATGAATTTCATCACGCGTTTGTCGAGATGTGGTGCCAGCCCAAAGAACCTCACCTGCTCAATCCCATCACCCACCTTTCCGGGTTTCGCTTAGGGTTCAGGATGGTTCAGGGTTTGAGGGTTTAGGCTTGAGCACTTAGGCTTCAGCGCTCAGGGTTCAGGATTTTAAGCGTAGGATCTAACGTTTGGGATTTATGGTCCGGCTCCGTCTGTGCTTAGTATCCCGCACTTGAGTACAGCACCCCTTGGCGAAGCAACGAAGAGCATGCCACGGGTTTGCTGCGCACGATGGTCTACAAGCCTAGACACGAAATCTCTTTGTAAGAGCTAAAAGAGTAAGAATCTGACTTTTAGATTCGAATTTCCATCAGCGTCCCTCCTTCTCCCTCCTCTTCACTCCTCCTCTAATAAAGCTCCTTACTCCTCCTGTCCTGCTCCTCATCCTCCTCCTTGTTCTCCTCCTCCTCCTCCTCCTCCTCCTCCTTGTCGAGCTACCACTCCTACAGCTGCCGCCGCGGCAGCGATGCCTAAGAGGCAGGCAACACCCACCGCGGCAGCCTCTGTGCCTGTTGGAGTTGTTAACCCACGACGAAGAAACACGGGCCCACAACAATGACAACGGTTATAACATGGCGACCCCAACATGCCGGTTCCCTTTGAGTGTTGGCTGACGAAGATGGAGAAGTCAGAAAGCAATCCTGATTCCCTCCGGAACGTTCACGACAATTGCGCATGCATCGCAAGCGTTTTGTGAATGCTTTTGGCCCTAGCATCAAACCCTGGTTCTCCAAGGTCCAAAACCCAGAACACCCTGGATCCCCTAACCCTAGAACTGCAAACTTTACATCCTACACTCAATGCTGAAGCCCTAGAGCCTGAAACCCGCTGCCTTGAAAGCACTAAAAGCCCAAATCTACACTTTCAACCGCAAGGCAAAGCCTGCAGCTTCAGCAATGTCGCATACTCTGTTCCTAAAGCGCGTCGCGTACTCTGTTCCTAAAGCGCGTGAGCCCCAAAGCCAAAAAATCCCATACTTTTGAAATCCTTAGCCACAAGCCTATCCGACAAAAGCCTAAAGTGTAATCTTTAAGGCTTCAACTACCACACACAAAAATCACGAATCCAATTAAATGGGTTTCAGACCATGAAAATCCCTAAGCTCGGAGCCCTGTACGCATCCTGAGCCCTGGACCATAAACTAAAGCCCAAAGCCCAGCGCCTTCAACTCAGAATTGCTGAGCCAAATCCTAAGACCCTAAAGCCGTACGCCAGAGCGTTTTCAGCATGTAGGAGCTTTTCAGTTTTCGCGGTCAAGGTCTCAGGGTTCAGGAGTTGAGGGTTTTCAGGGTTTGGAGTTAAGTGGGTTTCAGGCGTTAGGACATTCGAGTTCTGGTCTTTGGAGTTGTGGGTTTGATTGTGGTCAGGTTTATTCTGAGGCAACGCAACAATACTCAAAGGGCGCACCCCTGTCAGGCCATTCTCCCTCTCCTTGAGCAGGCCAGAGTGTCACAGCAGCCGCCTACCCATTCATTCTGCTTCGTGTTGTCGTCCAGAGTCATCGTTTACTGCACGTGTGGTCAAATCCTCCATGTTCATTCTCAGCAGAATTACAAGTATTGCCATAATCATTGGCGGGGGTGGCAAGCTGAGAATGGCAAGCTAGGTGCCTCACAAAGCTGTGGAGTGACTGATCGGCAATAATGTTGCTGCAGCAAAGGACCTAAAGGTATAGAATGGTCACTTGATGTCACTTGAGTGGAGGTGGCAAAAGTGCAGAAGCCTCTGCTGATCATTGCAGAGGATGTGGACGGCGAGGCGATCTTCGGGAATGCAAGTCTCAAACTAGGTTAAGTTTGTGGACGGTATTGGACGATCCACCATGGGCTGAGCAGGATTTTGCCATTATCGATGCAATTTTGTGTTGTAGCAGCCTTCCTGTTTTTGCCAACTCCACTGCGCACAGGCACTTTCCATGCTCATCGTGAACAAGCTCCGAGGAGGCCTCAAGGCGGCCTGTCGAGGAAACAGCTGCTACACTTGCAGCAATTACTGCCGACTAGCTTAGTTGAAGGATGCCCAAGTCACGCCTCCGCAAGTTGTGTCATACCTCTCAGCGCATCTTTGCGTGGCACCAGGTTGCCGCAGTGAAGGCACCTGGCTTCGGTGACAACCGCAAGGCAATCCTCCAGGCGCCTGCGCCTTGAGCCGCGCAGAGCAGCCAAAGCCGCTCTGAGAGACACAGGATCTTTGCGTGCTGACCGGCGCGGAACTCATCACTGAGGAGCTGGGTGGAAAACTCGAGGCTAGTTCTGGGGCCCAATGCGCACATTGATCTCAGCTTCGGCAGACATGGCTTCATCGTCTTCGCACATGTTCAGCTGAAGAAGGCTGGCCGTTGCAGAGTGTCTTTCGCCTGGCCAGGAAGCCCAACTTTCGCAGTTGGGCACTGCAAAGACCATCACAATCGACAAGGCCCTTCCGGATTTGTGTGCGTGTACGAGGTGGCCTCCAATGTTGCCGGCACCAGGACAGTACCGTCCTGCTGGACGGTGCAGGAGAGAAAGCCAAGATCGAGGAAAGCACGGGATGATCAACATTCAAGACTAATGGAAGTCTTCGTCCCGCGTGTAGGAGAGGTGCGAGGCCATCCGAGACAGCATCGATGCATCCACATCCGAATACGAGAAGGACCTGACAAGTTTCACGGACTCACTCTCATTGTTGCAAGACTTTTTGTACCCCAGCGGCAGTGGTCTGGCGAAAAAAATGCAGTTGCCGTGAGGACAAGATGAAGGAGCGTTTGGCAAAGCTGGGCGGAGGTGTCGCAGTCATCAAGGCAGAAATCCGCTCATGCGATGTGGAAATGTCAAACATCTCGGTATATGGAGGTTGGCGGCTCGAGCGAGGTGGAGGTGAACGAAACCAAGGCCATCTTGCTTTGATTGTCATTGTTTCAGAAATACACAGGTTCAAGTTGCCCATCACAGGACCGCCTGAATGACGCACTGAATGCCACGAAGGCTGCACTGGAGGGAGGCATTGTTCCTGGTGGAGGTGCCTGACTCTTCACCACTAGCATTTGTCCATGCAGCCCTTTCGGAAGCAGATTTCCGTTAGGAACTGCCCTCTTGTATGCCACCATGAAGCTGGAGGTGCAGGGATATTGTAAAGCAGATCCTGTGTGATTCTCATTGTTTCTGTCCAGGGTGTGAAGCTGGATAGCTTGGACCAGCAAGTTGGGGTGGATGCCATCAAGGCCTGGTTGTGGAGACATGTAGAGACAATGCGATGAAAATGACGGCAATCGACCATCCAGGCGGCCCTGAAGCAGCCATGCATCCAGATTGCTCAGATGCTTGGCGACAGAACGATGTGAACAAACTCCTTTGCATTGTTCCGGTATTTCCGGTCTGCTTGTTGGACTGCTTACCCACGAAGGAATGCAGGCGAGGAAGGTGCGGTCGTAGTGCAGACGCTCTCCAAGGAGTGACTTGCGAACTTCGTGCTGTCGATGCTTTCCCACGGCGAAACCTACTTTTTGTCAGGACAAGAACTTGTCCAAGGGCTTCAACGCGCAGACCGGTCAGTATGTTGACATGATCGAGGCTTCAATGAAGAGCATAGCAAAGTTTGCCATGAGTTCACCCAGACTGAGACCTGATGAAATCTTGCATTCCAGGCAGGCATCATAGATCCCACCAAAGTTGTGCGAACAGCTCTGGCCGACGCTGTGTCCGTCGCATCGCTGATGACGACCACCGAGGCCAAATCTGTGGGAAGCCCAAAAGGCCAATCGATGGTGAACCTAATGAGACTGCAGGCTATCATTGCGGAAGAAGTTGAGGAGAAGGCAGCTGGTGAGCGCCCCCTCTCGCCGTACCAGCAGGCCAGATAAAGGTTTGAATTCCAGCAGTGCAACACCCTTGATCGCAGGCTGGGCTGAGACAAGATGGCATTGGCGGCTTCTGAGCCATTGGCTGATGTCGCTGTCTAGAGCGAGTTTGCAGAGTAACCCTGAAGGAGTATGGCTTTCATCAAACAGTTGGCTTGACAGATGCTAATGACGTTATACTGCACTCGCTATGATGGCAACACTTCGATTGCTTGTGTAGCGTTTTGGAAAACTTAGTCTTTGAAGAGGCCTGAAATTTCATCTGCAAATGGCAGATGCAAGGCCTTAGATAAAGGCAGGTGACACAGCGGGTGGCGAGAGGCTTGCTTGCACCTCGGCTGCACGGAGCGCTAGCCCTCTCTTTATCTCCTTGGAGTCTGGCTGTGGATATGGCCTGGTGCAGACATGGAGGCTGCTCAGGTGCTGCATTGCTGGTGCACTGGCCCTCGCCCGCATTAAGCTGCGCGAGGCAGCTGAGACGGATCCTTGGCCAGGCCAGAATTTTGTGTGTTTTTTTGCGGTTCCGGATTCCATTTCCATGACTTGTTTCAGGGAGCAACTGTAGCAACTGATTAACTTAGACGCAGACCCTTTGAGACGGTGGAGCTAAATCAAATGGCTTGGGTAGCAATTGGTGCAAGGTTCTCGAGGGGGTTCCAAATAGCGACCTAAAACTGATACGCGTGTGCGCAGCACGCAGATACTGAGGCCAGCTTCTTGGAAGCCATGCTCATCGCACTGGCTGCAAGAATCTGAGGCTCCCTGGGCCAAGCACAATTTTAGAGGTCGAGCTGATGGAAGCGATGATGCTTTCAAGACTTTTATCGGGTTTTTGATATATGAGAATAATAAAGGTCTTAGAGATTGCAAGCAAATTTTGCATCCGCCCGACTGGCCCAGAAAGACCCGACGTGCTTGGCACTTTAGCAAGAAAATCAAAGAAGGAATATATTCTATAGAAGAATTTCTTTTCTATGAGGGATCGGAAGATAGAATAGAATTAGCCAGAATCATTTTTAAATATTCGAATGCAAATACATGAAAATCGAATATTGGAGATCATTTCTATAAATTCTCGCAGGGCAATTTGGGGAGGGTAATACAGGAGATAAATAATTTCTTATTATTTGATCTACAATTATTATTTTATATGCGATTATATAGGCATGGATTATTTTTATGGTTATCGTATTAGGATTATCTTGATATTATAGCGCGTTTTTTTTTTGGCTATTTCGAGCGCGTCTTTCTTATTCTGGATCGCTTCTATTATATTTTATTTAATATTTCTAAGGCTGGCTGGGCGTGGTATTGTGTGTTGTATTGAAAGATTTTTCTAATTAATTTATATATATATATTTGATTTATTATACGGCTTTTTGCGGGGACGTATAGATTTGGATAAATACTTTTATTATGCATTCTATCGATTTGGCTTATTATTTAGAATAAGAACGCAGGCTTACGATTTTTTTTCTTTGATTACTTACAGCTTTTGCTTTTCTGGAGCGATTTTTTGCATGATCTATTTCGTTTTGGCTGCGAGATTGGTCGGCAGGATATATAATTTCGGAACGGAAAATTTAGAAATATATTTCTTGCTTTTTGGCTGTTTGTTAGGGCAAAATATACGTATATATATTATTGGGGGTTCGGCTTAGGATCTTAGTTTGTTCGCGGAACGTTCTTGGAATTCGCGGAATTTTCACGATATTTATAGAATTTTTCGGGGGAGTTAGTAGAATCCGCTCGCAGAATCCTATTTGGGTTTTGGGAATCCCTCTGGGGTTCGGCTATCTTCGTTTATTTTTTTATGGATTCGATAAATTTCGGCTCATTTGAGGAGACATACTCCTAGAGAGGCGTGCATATACAACTCTCCTCTAATTTGCGCAATAGCTCAGCGGAATACATAGACCCGAGATGAAGAACTAAATTCTTTTAGAATCTAAAATCTATTCGTTTACGATTACATAATTTCTCCGATTTCGAATCTCGATTAATCTATTTTAATTTGATAGAGACTACATTGCCTACTCAATAATAGATCATGATATATCATATATTTTTGTTCCAGAATTGCGCCTGAGAACTAATAAAAATCGATGCTGAATCCGTATCTTGAAAGTTATAATGCGTAATGCCGATTCGCCAGGATTCCCCTATTGACGCTCCTCCTCTGGCTTTCAGATGGGCAGGAAATAGGAATGAACTATGAAGCTATCATGAGCTTGAGATTCCCCCCCTTACGCTGATAATGCAAAAGCTTAAGCCCCAAACCCAAAAGCCTAAACCCTAAACCCAAAAGCCTAAACCCCAAGCCCTAAATCTTAAATCCAAAAAGCCTAAATCCCAAATCCTAAACCCTAAACCCCAAAAGCCTAAACCCCAAACCCTAAATCCTAAACCCCAAAAGCCTAAACCCCAAACCCTAAATTCTAAACCCAAAAAGCCTAAACCCCAAACCCTAAGCCCTAATACGCATATCCACAACCTCAAGCTCAAAAACCTAGAGCCTTAAAGAATGCCCTAGAACGGCCTCAGCTCCCAGCCAGTTCCTATACCCAGACTTATTTAGGATCTATTCTAATAATCTCTCTATTTCTATTTCTCTTTCTCTATCATATTAATAGATCTATCTATTTCTATATCTCGATCTTCCAATTTCTAACGATATAATTACAAACTTCAAAAAAAATCAAAAATTTCAAAAAAATCTAAAAATATTCATCAAAAATCCTAGAATATCTCAAATCTAGTTAATTCGAGGCTTCCTTAAATTATTGAAAACCGTCGAATCCGTATCATCTATCATTTGATCTGATATTTTTGATCTCAAAACCTTCATGAACGATAACGATTCTAATCTATATATTCCTCTCTTTATCTCTCTATCTCTATTTCCTTTATCTGATTTTGATTTGAATTTATCAAATCAATCAATTTTCTATTTTCTATCTTTTTTTAGCTCTCTCTGTCTTTTTAGAGCTATATCAATCTCTATCAATTTCTATCTATCTCTATCTATTTATCTATTCTAATCTACCTATCTTGAAATTGATTATTCTATCAATCTTTTCTATCTCCCCATATATATATATATTTCCAATTTGTATCCGATTCTATCTATCCATCCGTCTATCTATCCTTTCAATATCATATATAATTGATTATCATCCGGCCATTATATATATATATTTATTTATTTATCTATTCATATTGACCTATTTATCGATATATAAATATATCTATTGATTAAATGATCTTTATTTAAATCTATTTCTCTCTATTTATAATTGATTATCAATATGTATCTTCATTTTCTCCTTATATTTCATCATTGATGACTGATTATAATATCGATGATCCGATGAATATCTTAGATTTGCAATTCTAAATATTAACTCCCAATATTCAGAAATATATTTTCTGGAAAATTAATTCTACACAATTTAGATATATTCAAATATCTTAATTTCTGAATTAGAAATTCATAATTCTCTTATTTCTATTAAGATAAGATGCTCGATAAAAACGAAAAAATTCTGTCATTCTAAAATGATTAATCTTTAGATTATTTATATCAAATTGTTATTAGAAGGAAAGATCGAGAAATTACGTGAATTGATCTATAATTTGCGAATATGAGCTTGTCGGAAGTGGGAATAAATAAATCAGTTCGATAGACTACTCAAAAAAGATTTCAAAAATAACGAAATTAGAAACTTATAGAAATTATAATTCGATATATATATAAATCAATATGATGATCTTCTATATATTATACGATTCAATTCTATTTTATCGGAACAATAGACCATCAAATTTTTTCAAATCCCTGAATAGATATATTGATAGATTGAAGATTCAACGAATCTATAGATCGTTCATTATATTCGATTTATTTAATATTTCGTCTTCAAAAATCATAATTCGACAGATCGGGAAATTGATAGATCAATAGAATATTCAAATGACGGACCGAATCGTAGAGAGATTGATAGATCACCAACCTACTTATTTTTCCTTCATTTTGCTTCCAAATAAACCAATTATTAAAGAAGAGAGGGAGAAATCCGCCAATCAAAATCATGGAGATTTTTGGTCGTACCGCCCGGGCCAAATTTCTCAGAGATTTTAGATTCGCTAGCTTTTCCGAAAGACCGTATAAATATCTTTTCATAGGAAGATATTGAATGATAATATGATAGGAAGATATTTAATGATAATATGATAAGAAATATCAGGATTATAGATTGATATTTTTGGTTCTTACGATTTTTAAGGAAGATTAAAAAATCTTCGTGATCTTGAAATATCATTTTCTCATTAGGATATTCTAAGGTCATACGATTTTTCAATATCAATAGAATACTAGGATTTATGATAATTATCATCAATATAATAATTTGATTTAGGGATGATCAAATCATTAATAAGATCATTAGAATCATCTTGATCATTTAAGAAAATCTAATTTGAATTTTTCATTTTCTAGAATTCTTTCGAAGCAATCTAAATCTTCTACTCCAAATCTAAATCTTTTAGGCGAAATATTAATCTTTCAGAATCAATCTGAGAAAAGATAATCAATTCAGATATTTTGGAATCTATTAATATCTTATTCGAATTTTTGGAATTGATATGATATCTTTTATTTTCTGATCTATTCGGATATATATTTTCGATATATTTCAGATATTTTAGATCTATCCTAGATTTTTGGAAAACATATAGGCTCGAATTTTCTTTGCGCCAAGTGCATATATCTTAAAATATTGGAAATCAATATCTTCTTATAGAGAAATTCAGATTTATTTCAATTTTTTAAATCAATTTGATTATTTTAACGATGATTCTAGATATTTTAAATTGATGCGGATATTTCGGAATATATTTGGATTTTTGAGAGATCAATTATAGCTCAATTTTTTGATATCTATTCTATATATATATATATCGTATTTAAATCGTTTTCATGAAGATTCTGGATCCGATTCAATTTTTGAATATTTTCAAAGCTATGAATCATATTTTTTGCATTAATTAAAGAAATATATATTTGATTTTATAGATT